CCCTTCCCAGTACCCCAAGTCTTTTCCGTCCACCCTGACAGCCTCTTGTCATCATTTAGCTACTGATTGTGTCCCATGGCTTGACATTGGAGGGTTAAATGAGGCACTGAGTCCCGCCACAACTTTTTAACCCTGTCCCCAGATGCTCTTTGCCTCTACTGTACCCTTGGGGCTTTTATCTTAACAATCCCTCCTACCCTTCTTCTACACCCTTTTTTTTTTTTTAATATACTTATTTTGCTATTGGGGGAGGGGAATATCAGATGAACAAGATCACTTTTAAATGGTAGTTTTTATAAGATGTTATAAACTTGTATCTTTTTACCATTAAAGTGCAGTGTATGTTCCTTCGTGATATATTTAGGCTATTTAAATAAAAAGAAAATGGGGCTTTTCTACATATTATCTCCTTGAGGAGAATATCCTCTGAGAAGGCTATCCTTTGAGGCCAAAGTGGTCTTTCTATTTTCCCCAAATAGAACCACCCTACAAATTCCAGTACCCTATAAACTACCACTTCGAAATTCCCCTTCGCCATAGATGAGCAACAAGTAGAAGTACAAACAGGGTATCAGTTATGAATAAGAGAAAACAACCTGCACAGTAAGACAGAATATTAGATACTAGTGCATGGAATATATCTCAAAGTGTGGTCTGTCCTCCATCAACATTACTCTGGGAATCCAACAGCCCATCTCAACCAGCTGCTTCCCTGGCAATCACTTACTGGCTCTCCTACACATTTAAGTTTGAGAATCTTCCCCTGCCCTCAGGTGGCAAGAGGGGCTCCCAGCTTCACAGCCTGTTTTGACCTTGGGATAAAGCAAATGACAGCTTCAATTGAAAGTTAGACTTTATTGTATACATGGATGGGGTAAACCCCACTCCTTGTGAGGTAGGGAAACAAAGTTGCAACAGGAGGCAACCCTCTTGGGTGTCACTGAGAACAGAGTAGGTAGTGACCACTCCAGCACTGGATTAGTCTCCTACCCAGCCACTACCTGACAGACCCTCCCCCCACGTTTCCCACCATCTCCCCAGTGAGAAGAGCCCTAGGGTAAGTATCCTTACCCCCTTCAGAGAAGGGGACTCTCTGTCTCTTGAAAGCGAGGATTGACAGTGGTCGTGATGGCACTTTTGTAGAGAGGATTGCTGTCCTGGGGAAAGAGGTTGGAAATGATGAGGGAAAGTCCCAGGACTTCTGGACCTGGACCTAAGCCAACCTAGAACTTGAGCCAGACCCCAGGACTTGATGGAAGTTAGCAGAGGAATGGAACAGAGGAGGCACAGACCTGGGAGGGTGGGAAGGGGCTTCATGGTAGTTATCAGAGCTGAGGGTGGAATGAGAAAGCAACAGAGGACCTAACCAAGGAAAGCAAGTAAGACCCACTCAGTGGGCAGTCTCCTTACCTGCTTCCAGTTGAGCTGCTGCCGTTCCTTCTCAAAGCGATTGTATTCTCGACGGTCATAGATTTCTACTGAGAGCCGGTAAGCCAGGACCAGCCCCAGTCCTACTGCCACAATGCCCCCCACACAACCTATCACAATGGCCTGGGTGTGGTCTGCTCCCTCTGTAGGTGAGAAACAACACACACTTCTGGGTTCTGGAGCATAGGGATTGATGAACAGTTGCCCACAGTGTATGTGTATCCAGCCCCATCCAGCCTCCCCAGCCCTGCCTACTATTGAAAATGAACCCAGCAGGGTCCAAGGTTATCCTTAGTGCCCAGGGCCTTAGCCTTGTCCACTTGGTCCATCCCCTACACTTGTGCCTGGATTCATAGCTCTGCTTCAACCCCTAGCCAGGTTTCCCATTATCTTTACCTTTCCTCCCCAAGTTGAATCCCTACCCATCAAACTTCCAGGACTCCATTTGAAGTGTCCACAGCATCCCTGCCCACTTACTCTCTCGGGGTCTCACTCTCAGCACGACCCTGCCTCCAGCTTCATCCTCTATCAGGAAGAACAGCAGCTGGTTGTCCAGGGTCCTCTCTTTGCACCAGCCATCATCCAGGATAGGAGCCAGAGCCAGAGTCACGTTGGCATGAGCACAAGCCATGCTGCAGTTGGTAGCCAGGGGACCAGTTTCAAAGGCCCCACACTCTGCACAGTCCCTGTCCAGTGGATGCCAATAATTTTACCAGCTGGACAGTTGTCACCCACACCATATGCAGGAAAAAGCAGGCAGGTGGCAGTGGCCCAGCAAGCCCTGCTATGCCCCTACTCCCAAAATGTAAAACATGAGGCCTCACCTGTGTGTCTCACATGGTGTCTTGCAGCCTGGGCACTGATCACATAGGGCACCATAGTAGCCATCCAAGCACTGGCAGCGGTTGCATTTGCAGTGTCCATGCCCATTGCAGAGCCCTCCTTCGGGACTGACACAGCCATCTATGTCCCCACTGCATTCACACGCTCTGCCCGTGCGGTTGGCGTGACAGTGACACACTCCACATTGGCAGCGGCCAAAGCCTGGGACAGAGCCACATACAATAGACATCATAGGCTGCCTAGAACTGATATGTTCATGTGCATCCTATTCCCTCTCAAATATGCCAGACACATGCTCCAACTCCTATATCGGAATCTTTGTTACTCGCCCTTAGTGCCTTGAAGATCCCACAGCCTAAATATCCTTGGGAGAACCACTCTGACCCTACCCTCCCCACAGTCTCCAGGTACCTCCACAGAGGATGCCTTCATGTCTCTCACAGCTGGCATCATCACACTCGCACAGGTGCCCAGAGCTCTGTCCACTGCAGCTGCAGCGTCCACACTGGCACTGTCCTTTCCCACTGCACAGGGGCCCTGTCCCATTGGGGGCTCGGCACCCAGATTCCAGATCCAAGGAGGAGAGCTCAGCTTCAGAGCACTCACAGAATCGACCCAGGCGGCCGGGGGCACAACTGGGAGGGGAAGGCAGAGGAGGGAAATGTGGGGCATAGAATTTGACCATCCCTTGACTTGTCTTTCACACTATCCTCTAAACCCAAGATCTCCCAAGAGCTAGAGATGGAAGGGTGGTTGAAGAGATACGAAGTAAAGCAATGCACCAAGGAATAGAAGAGCAGAGGGAGTCCTGGTCAAGGGGAGCATCTCAGCACATCTGAGAAGCTTCAAGTGATGAAAATCAGGGTGCAGTCTAGGATGGAAGGCAGAGGAAGAGGAATGTAGGGGCTGGTCATATGTAGAGAACTACATGGGTGAACGAAAGCAGGCAGCCCTCACCTGCACACCCCGCATTGTAGGTGTCCCTGGCCATCACTGCAGTGGGGAGCCTGGAGCTGAGTGTCACTACAATTACAATCACACAGTGTGTGCAACTCCACAGTCAGCTCCTCTGAGAAGCCAAGGGCTCGTAACCTCAGAAGATGGGGCTCTTGGAGGCAGTGGGTAGCTTGGAGAGTAACCAAAAAATTCACCTGAGGACAAGACGGGCAGAAATCAAACTAAGATTATATGCGCGCCCATGTGTGCATGTGCATGCACACATATGTACACACACACACACCCCCAACACTCCCAAACCCATTGATCATCCAGAACTCTATTCCTTAGTAAATTAAAGGACAAGGTCATGCTAACACTCACCTCCTAGCAATACACTTGAGGAAGCTGCTCATTAAATCCCTTCAGAAGGGATGGTTGGAGGACTACCCCATGCTTTTGCATTGTTCTCTGTGCTTGCCCCCCATCTTTTCCTGCCTGCTTCAATTTCCCACTCCCACCCCCACTTCCTTCCTTCTGCCTGTCTTGGCTGGCTCTCACCATCTGGTTGATTCGGACATTGTTGCACTGGCCTCGGTCCCCAGCCGCACCATCCCTCTTCTCAGGACCCCCACACTGAGATTCGTAAGAGATGCGGACACCAGGAGGGAGTGGAGAGTGTTCGAGAGTCACAGTGGATGACAGGCTCTGTAGAAAGAGAGTGAGTAACAACATGAAGATTGACTCCAGCCCCACATCATGCCCTCTCCAGCCATTCCAAATTCTGCCAGAACCCTGCCCTCAGCCTTCCTTGGGGCTCCTTCCATTTTGCCTAGTCAAGAGGAATTTCTGGAGGAAGGACCTGTGAGAATCTTGAGGGATATACATGAGGACCCAGAGGACTCTAACAGCATTTCTGTGGAGTTGCAACAAGGAACTGCTGGGGGTCAGCGGCTGGCCAGGCACTGTAAATGTGCAGTACCTGTGTTTTCAAACCCCAAATCAGGACATATAAGCTGTGTGCATATAAGGTCCAAAGGGCAATTCTCCCAGACTTTGTCCTGGGAAATTTGATGCTGTCTCAAATTTTCTCACCATGGCTTTAGGACATGGTCCCTGTCATCAATAAGTCTAGTTGCAGAGGTAAGACCTAAACCCAAGAAACAAGAATTTTTATGGTCTCTCTGAAGAATATCTGAATTGTTTATAAGCTTAATGAAAGCAGGCTCCAGATGTTAAATTCTTTATGAACAGACTGACTAGAAGACAAATCTCAGCTCTTCTATCTGTTATCTGAGGGACCTTGGGCAAGTCACTTTGCCTCCTTGTGTCTATATCGCCATCTATAAAATAGGGATGGTAAGAGTTACCAAGCAGGGATTTTAGTAGGATTAAATGAGATAGAAAACAGTATGTGCACTTAGGACAGTGCTTAGCATGTAATAAAAGCTCAGTGAATATTAATTTTCCTTCTTTGCCAGAACAGGGCTCTATGCTTTGCACAAATCACTTAAGATTGATGAATGTAAGATTGGGCAAATGAACTATTAATGACAGCCATATACAAACTGCAGGTAGGAGCTGTGGTATGTTACCCAAAATGTGATTATTCCCTCTTAGTTCTGCCACCCCTCCTGAGAGCCCCCTTCCCACAGTGCCCACCCTCATTCTCCCCCAACTCGCCCCTCACGTTATAAGCGTCCATGATGAGCTGCACCACATTGCTGGAGTTCTCACTCAGCTCCCCCACTGCAGACTTAGGGATCAGCTTACTCAGCTCCTGAGTTATGAGGGGTTTCAGGAAATGGTGGGTCACAGCTCTAGGGAAATGGGCTTCTGGGGGTCTGGAAGGAGGATGTATGGGGAAGAGGAGAATAGATCTTTGAGAGACTTAAGGAAGGCTTAGGATGGGAGGGTCTGGCATTCAGACAGCTCTCACCTGGTAGACAGGCAGTGTGGCACTGGTGACAGCAAAGATGGGCTGGATGTTTGCTGCAGAGAGAGCCTGGGCTACCTGACCCACAGAGGGGTAGTCCTGGGGCAGGGAGTGGGCACAAGGTGAGCATAAGTCCTCCACAATACACAAGGTGCCCTTCATCCCAGGGAAATTCAGCAACCAAGATTCCACCAACTACAGGAATCCTGGAGGCTTGGCAAGGACGGAGGGTCTAGGGAGTGGAATAACACAGATTTCTGTTTGAGCTGTGGGGGGAACTTCTGGGGAAGATGGCAGGGTGGTTATCAGTAAGGAGAGTGAGGCTGGGGGAGGGGGGGAGTCAGATGGGGAGGGTCTGGGGGAGGGGAGGGACTCACAAACTCTGGGCTGCGACTGTAGAGGCCATTGCTGTCCAAGTGGCAGTGCCCATCACTGGGCATGAAAATGCCACCCAACTTCCCATCCCCAGCTGTGTGGAATGTGTCATCTGAAGTGAACACCAGCAGCCGGGACACATTTCTCCAGCCAATCTGTTCCTAGGGTGGGGTGGGGCATAGGCTGTACAACTAGGCATGGCCCTTGAGACACCCCAGCCAGTGATGTGAGCCAAGGATTTGGCCAGCCTCGTTCTGAGTCAGCTCCCTGTTTCTCTCCAGCCCCCCAAAGCAGGGTTGCTGCTAGTGCGAGCCTTCTTGTGAATGAGAAAAACATGCCTCTTCCTCAAGCTATTTAACTCCTATCTACTAGGAAAATGTCAAAATAAATATACAAACTACAGCGACTGTAATATGAATGACACCCCCTAGAATTGTACACTGCACAACCATAGGTGGCAGTCTTGGCCCCAAACAGTCCTTCAGATCACCGTCCCACCTCCTCACCTGGCAGAGTGCAGCCTGCAGAATGGCATCAAAGCCACCCTCAGGTGAGTCCAGGTTGCCGGACACACTCTGGCGCCCCACCTCCCGCTCAAAGGCCTTAGCATCCCCAGTCAGGGACAGCACATGGTGAAAGCTGAAGGGTGGCTGGCAGCGCTCCATCCGGGTGGGGCAGGGGTGGCGAAGCTTGGAGGGCACTGTGCTCACAAAGGGCAGCACCGTTTTGTCCACAAAGGAGCCAAAGCCTGGGAGAGAGAAGTGAAAACTGTGCCAGAAGTCACAGGACAGCAGTGGGATGGAGGAGCCACTGCTGAGGACTAGGAAGAGAGGAGTCCATGGGAGGTGGGAGGTGGTCCTAGAGGAGGTAATGGGAGCCAGGTGCTCCTATATGGCACCCAGTACCTGGTAGGGGCAAAGGGCTGAGACCACTGGCTCAGGAAAGTGGAGAATGGAAGAAATTAAAAGGACACATGAGAATCAGGCAGGGGTTTCCTGAAGGCAGAGAAAGAAGGCAGAGTGTAGGGTTTAGTATCGGTATGAGGCAAAGGAGGGGATGGCAAATGGAGAAGTGATAAGCGCAGAATGTACAGCCAGGGGCAGTGGCATATAGACTTTGTCCAAGAGACAGACCTGAGAGGCATCAGGGCCGTATCCGGGCAGGTAGGTACAGAGCACTGTCTGACCCCTAGGAGCTGTCTAAACACAGTCTCTCCAGACTCCGGGCTTCAGTTACCCCTCACTGTAAAATGAGTGGTCCCACTGGACAGTCTCTTAAATCCCCTCCAGCTCTGACCTAAAAGATGGATGTCTTTGGGGAGAGATGTCAGCAACCTGTGGCCTGTTAAAAATTGGGAGAGAGCAGGTGGGGCCCTTGTGTGTCCAGGATGTTGGCAGAGGCTAAGGTGGCAGTTGAAATTAGAGGCAGAGGGCTGGCAGGTGGCGGGGTGGGGCGGCACTGTGCTCACCAATGCGCACAGAATGTGTGACCTCCTGCAGTCGCACCAGCAGGGCGTGCCCGAGTTGGCGCACGAACTCCAGGTCATCCTTCATGGAATAGCTCAGGTCCATAAGGTAGTACAGGTCCACAGGGTATCCCTCAGCACGAAGGAAGCGGACCTGGAGCTGCTGGGGTTCCCCTGGTGGTTGAGGATGGAGCGGCAGGGGTATCAACAGGGTGCTTATAGATCCCTGCCCAAACTTCTGACCCAGCCCCGCCGCCCCTCTCACCTGGCCGCAGCGTGACCCGCACCCGTTGCGGCGCCAGCTGGGTGGCCCCTTCGCCACGGGCACCCTGGCTGAGTGGCTCATCCTGAAGCACCTCCTGCCAGCCTTGGGGTTCCTCCAGCTCCCCCACGGGGCAGCCCCGAGCCAGCAGCTCCTCTCTCCGGGCGCAGCGCCGTGCCTCTGCCTCCCCCGACGCTGTGAAGTTCTGCAGCCACAAGGGAAGGTGCGTCTGGACCCTAGTACCCTGCAGACCCCCAGCCCTGCTCCCAGCCTGCAATCCCCACCACTTCTAACCTCATCCCTCTCAGTCAATTCCCTGAGCCCCTCTGATTCCCTCCTCCCCTCTTCCTTCCACAGCTATCCTTGAACCCCAACCTTTTCTTCCTTGTTAGAGCCCATCTCCTGTAGTACCCCATTTCTCCTCCCTTATCTCTAATCCCCTTTTTCCCCAGCGACCTACCCTTCCCCTCCCTCTAGGGCCACAGACTTCCTGTTGAGACTCTCAGGGACCTCACCACCACAAAAAAAGGAGGAGCCTGGCCTCCTAGTCCAACCTCCCCTGCATGCTAAAGCCAAAATGGGAAGAGGATCAGGTTAAGACCCACAGTTCCTGGGAAAGGAAAGGGTAGAGACCCCTTTCCCCCATGTCTGTTACCCACCCCTGGGACTGGCTGGGAAGCCACAGAGGAAGGAAATGGTTAGAGCGGCTTCTCAGTGAGCCTGGGTGCCAACCTCTGATCTGGGGATTGGAGAAAGCAAACATGTACCTGAGTGTCCCAAGAGCCCCACCTGGTACCTCTGCTCTCTGCCTCCTGCAGACTGTCTTCCCTTCCAGTCCTCCCAGATTTACTATGTACCTTTCCCCTGGGCATGCTCTGCCTCCTAGTGAGTTTGCCCTCATCTCTTATCTAAGTCTCCACCTTCCTGTGAGAGAGTTCTGCCCCCACCCCCAGCTCAGGCACCCCTCATGCTCTGCCACTCTTATGAGCCCTGTCTGTTTAAGGCATAAACAAAGAATAGCCTTGTTTGACCAGCTAGGGAGATACCCGGTTGCCAGCATCATTCTTGGCCACTGAGTAGCTCAAGCCTTTCACCCACAGGCTTCTAACTTTTTCCCCTCTACTATCCCAGTCATAGGCAGCCACATACTCCTGCCAGCCCCCAACACAGATTCAGAAAACCAATCACACACTTCTGCTATAGATTAACCCCCAATGTGATGGTATTTGGAAATAGGGCCCCTGGGAAGAAATTAGGATTGGACGAGTTAATCAGGGTAGAACCCTCATGATAGGATTAGTGCCCTAATAAGAAAGGACACCAGAATGCTTATCTGCAGCCCATATTCAAGCCAGCAAAAGAGCAGATTCACCAGAAACTGAATCTGCTGACACCTTGGCCCTGGACTTCCCAGCCTCCAGAGCCATGAGAAACAAATCCCAGTCTCTGGTATTTTATTATGGCAGCCCGAGCTGACGAACTTTCTCACATGTACACATGCATAATAGGTCCCTCTCCTTATACAGAAGCATGAGTTCCAGCAATAACATACTCTTCCAAATTCATAGTCACAAGTCTTATCCATATATACACAAGTACACAGATACAGATATAAATGTACATGCACAGGAAAAGTGTGTGCATGTTTATGCACACACACAATCACACATAGGAATCCTATGTACAAATTCAGTCACACAGGACTGTGGAGTACACCACACATGTGCCCACACAGTCACACACATACACCTACTCATGGCTGCCCACACACCAGTTGCACATACACCTACATGTGGCTCAAAAGCCTCCTCTTTACCAGTTGCTTGCACCATGCACAGCTTGGATGTGAGAGGATGCACTTCTGGCAGGAGGGGGCTGGCTGGCAGGACCCCGGCAGGGACAGATCAGGATCCCCCCATTCTGTGGCCTCCCCTGGGGATGAGATCTTGGTGTCCAACTCACTCCCACTTCTGCTCAGGAACAGCAGGAAAACAAGGACCATTGACAAAGCCACCATGGTCTGTAATAGGATATAAAGGGGGACACATAGGTCATTGGGGAAGACTCCCCAAGTTCTCAGTCCTCTAAACTTAGCCTGTGGTTATCCCTCTCAAAACTCTACCCCAACTCTTATCTCCCCTCATAGTCTCACTTCCCCCTGTGGATTCAGCAGTTTCTTCAAAATGGCAGGAAGGGGCCAGTACCAGGCCATGGTAGGGGCCTTGGAGAAGACCTGTCCCTCCTGTGTGCAGACTTCAGGAGGTCAGGGTGGGCAGAACGGCCTAACTAAGATTCTGGGCACTGGACCTGGAGGCACTGAGGTCTACACTGAGGTCTGTCCACCAAGATTCCAAGCCATAGTGGAAATAGAACCAAACAGGAAACAGACCAGGTTCTGGTCCTGCCTCAGTCACTCACTAGCTGTATGGTAAGTAAGACTTTCTCTCTGGACCTTAGTTTCCACATCTGTAAAGTAAGAGCATTGAATAATCTGAGCTCTTGTAGCTTTTATAATCTTGGATTCTATATAAGGGAAGAAGATCATAGGCTCTAAATAAAATGAGAAAGGGAGTAGGAATGAGAAGAGAGAAAGCGAGAACAGATAAGGGAATATGTGAAAGAGGCAGAGAAGGTTAGTTATACTTGACTGACATAGTAACAAGAGGACTAAAGATCAGGCCATAAGAAGAACTTTCTAAAGGTCTGGGAAAACGGAGGAAGGAAGGCCATGGGTGATAAAATTCTCTCCATTCTCTAGTTTGCACAAAGGGAATCCAGAATAGAGAAAGAACCAGAAGGCAGAGTAATTCCTGGGTTGACCTCCAGGGAAGACTAGGCAAATTTCCAATTTCTTTAAAACATTAAATTTTGAATAGGCAATCCATTACCATGTTTCAAAAATCAAAAATTTAAATCCCAGTGACCTCTTTTACAGAAATGGAAAAGCTGATCCTAAAATTCACATGGAATTTTGTGAATACAAAACAATCTTGAAAAAGAACCAAGTAGGAGGACTCACACTTCCCAACTTCCCAATTTTACTGCAAAGTCACAGTCATCAAGACAGTGTGGTTCTGGCATAAGAACAGGCATATAGATCTGTGGAATATAATTGAGAGTCCAGAAATAAATTCATCCATTTATGGCCAATTGATTTTTGACAAAGGTGCCAACCCATTCAATAAGGAAAGAACAGTCCAACAATGGTGCTGGGATGACTGGATATCCACATGTAAAAGAATGAAGTTAGACTCTTACCTCACAACATATACAAAAACTAACTGGAAATGGATCAAAGGCCTAAGTATGAGTACTTAAGCTATAAACTCTTAGAAAAAATGTAGGGGTAAATTTTCATGGTTTTGGACTTGACAGTGGATTCTTAGCTATGACATCAAAAGCACAAGCAACAAAAATAAAAATAGATAAATTAGACTTCATCAAAATTTAAAACTGTGCATCAAAGGACAATATCAAGAGTGAAAAGACCATAGACTATGAAAAAATACTTGAAAATCATATATCTGATAAATATCCAGAATATATAAAGAACTCTTACAACTCAACAACAAAAAGACAACCCAATTTTAAAACGGGCAAAGGACTTAAATAGACATTTCTTTAAAGAAGGTAGACAAACGGCCATCAAGCACATAAAAAGATGTTCAACACCATTAGTCATCAGGGAAATGCAAATTAAAACCACAGTGAGATACTACTTCATACTCCCTATTGTGGTTCTAATTAAAAAAAAAATGAAAAATAAGTGTAGATGAGGATGAGGATGAGGATGGAGTAAATGGAACTTTCATCGTTGCTGGCGGGAACATCGTTGCTGGTGGGAACAACCACTGTGGAAAATAGTTTGGTGATTCTTAAGTAATTAAAACATAGAATTACCCTATGATCCAACAATTTCACTCCTAGGTATATTCCTAAAAGAATTGAAATAGGGTGTTCAAATAAAAACTTGTACAAGAATGTTCATAGCAATACTACTCATAATAGCTAAAAGGTAGAAACAACCCAGTGTCCATCAGCTGATAAATAAAATGTGGTATATCCATACAATGAAATATTATTTGGCCATAAGAAGAAAGTACTGATACATGTTACAACATCCACAAACCTTGAAAACATTATGTTGAGTAAATGAAACCAGTCACGAAAGACCACAGTACTATATGGTTCCATTTATATGACAGAGCCCAACGAGACAAATTCATAGAGATAGAAAGTAGATTAGTGGTTGCCAGGGGTTGGGGAGGAGTGTAGGATGGGGAGTGACTGTTTAACGGACAGTTTCCTTTTGGGGTGAAGAAAAAGTTCTGGAAATAGCGTTTATGGTTGCATAGCATTGTAGATGTACTTAATGCCACTGAATTGAACACTTAAAATGGTTAAAATGATAAATTTTATGTATATTTTACCACAATAAAAAAATCAAAAAGTTAAATCAGATAGTGAGAAATCTCCCATTGTATCCCCCATCCACCCTAGTTTCCACACCCACACAGAATAATCATTTATTATTACCTTTTGTTATAGTCTTTCTAGAAATTGTTTTATGCATTTATGAATTAATATAAACATATATACACTCTTTAAATAGAATCAAGTGGTAGAATTATACAAAGAATACACGAAGTTTTGCATCTTTTAACTACTTTCTTGGAGATCCTCCTACCCCCCAAAATAAAGAACTTTCTTGTTCATTTTTACAGCCACAGTTTTCCATTGCATGTATGTATCATATCATGGTCTCTTATGATGGAGATTTAAATTGTTTCTAATTGTTCACTATTGTAAATAATGCTGCAGTGAAAATTCACATACTTATTTCACACGTGCGCAAGTGAATCTGTAGGATAAATCCCTAGAAGAGGATTTGTAGAGTCAGTAAATAGGTATCATTTGTAATATTGGCAAATATTGCTGACATAAACTCCTTAGAGACTGTGCTGGTTTACATCCCCCTCAGCAGTGTATGAAAAAGACCTGCTAACTCCTTGTAGCATCTGCCTCTTCCTCAGCCTAGGCTCAAATCCAGATGATCCGCATGGAGCGTCGGAAAGGGGTGGGGTGCCAAGTCCTTGACAGCCCTTGTCCTGCCCCCCACTACCTGTGACCTCATATATATATATCAATATATAGATATATTTATATATCGATATATATATATATATATCAGAACCTTCTGTGAGAGGCCAGCTCAGGGCTCAGCCTCGGTGTAACCTCAGCCCTGCTTGCTCTGCACGCCTGTGGTCAGGGAGGCTGCAGATGCTGCTGCACGAAGCCCACTTTTGACTCATCTCTCACAGGTGGGGCCTCCATACCACACTGGTTCCCCAGATAGGACAAACCCAGAGACCTGAAGCCCAACTCATCTCCCCTAAGGGGGGCTCTGGGACTCCCAGGATGGCCCACCCCAATCCCCTTCTCCCAATTCTTCTCCCCCTCCCTTGTGCTCCCTTTCTTAGGGATATGTAACCTGCCACTTGCTTCTCATAGTCTGTTTCATTCTCCTCTTCATCCTATTCAAAAATTTGATTTTATATCTACTGTTTTTCTCTTTTCCACTTCTTCACAGTTCTTCGTTTTGCTTTTTCTTCTCTCTCTGACCTTAACAATCGAATGGCAGAATCTTTTTACAAATGGAAATCTGGATCCCAGGTGGTAAGTGACTTGCCCAAGGTCATGCAGTGCATTAGAGGCAGACCAGGGACTGAGGCAAGGCAGGACCTATGGTTGGTTTGCTGCTTTTCTCCCCTCCAGCCCAAGCACCATCATCATCGAAAGTTGTGCCCTCTCCCCACTAATCCCAGTGGGCTCTACCTAATCCCCTTTTTCTGTCCTTGGGGGACTTCTTAAGTCTTCCCTTCTCTCCCTTCATGGTAGTTCCATTCGCCTGGACTTAATTCTGACTCCAATAAACACCCTACTGTTCTCTTGGCAGCTGAGAAACAGAGCTTCTTCCCATGCAGATCTTCCCAAGTCAAGCAGAACCCTCTACTGCCCACTTGGAGTCACTAGGAGGAAACAGAACTGAGTTACTGGGCCACAGTTCTCCCAGGAGTGTAGGATCTGTGGCCAAGATACCGATCTGGAGAAGGTCTGAGCTGAGCACTAGGCATTAAGCAGCAGGGATAGCAGCTGGGAGTAATACTGGGAAAACCCTACCTTGACACAATCCTTAGGATATGGCAGGCACTCAGATGATAGCACTCATACATTCCCACACCTCCTTTTCCTCCCTCCAGCCCCATTCTTGGGGAATTGATGCAAGAGAGATAGGTAGGAGGAAGGAGGGCTTGTGAAACTGGAAGAGGGAACAAGACCGGGGATCTTAGGAATGCAGAAAGGAGTTCAGAGCCTTTTTCAAGTTTCAGCTGAATCCAGGTCATCAGAACCCTCTTCCCAAGAGGTTGAGATCAGGTGGGGCCTGAACTAGTAAGGAGAGATAGGACTGTGCCCACATACTCACAGGTGCGAGCAGAGCAGCCTTTCCTCCATCCGCAGCAGCAGCCTTTGTGTACTGATCTGAGAGGCTACAGAGGAGGAAGTGACACGCCCGGGGTGGGGGGAACTTGGAGGGGGTGACTGATCTAGAAAGTGGAGCAGACAAGGGTGGAACTGGGCCAAGGGAGTTGATAACAGAGATTTGGAAGAAGCAAGCAAGGAAGCTAATCTGTTGAACACCTAACAACAGGTGTTGAGTATATCATGTTGTTATAATTAATCCTCACAAAAACCTCCTGACATAGGTGTCAATATCTCCCCAGTCCCCTAGTTTTACAGATGTTGAGACTTAAAGGTAAGAAGTAAAAATCTTTGCCTAAGGTCACATAGCTAGCAATTGACTGGTCTGGGATTTAAATCCAGGTCTATCTGCCTCCCAGTTGATGATCTACTTCCTCATACAGGAACATGATAGGAAAAAATGTGGAGGTAGTAAGTAGTGTAGAGAGGGGTAGTAACCATTGTTCATTTTGAAAACCCAGTGTCCACTGTATTATAGTGGGTGCTTAACTGCCCAAGTTCAAATCCTGGTTCTATCACTTACTAATAGTGGGACTTTAAGTAAATTACTTACTCTTTCTATGGCTGTTTTCTCATCTGTCAAACAGAGCTCACAGGATTGTTGTGAGAATTAAACGAGACAATTCATATCTATTGCTTAGAAGAGAACATGGCACATACTAAGGGCTTGAAGAGAGAATCAATGGATGAGGTATAATGGAGGTGAAAAGTAGAAGCTTTGAGAAATTCAAGGTCCAGATAGCTGAGAAGCTGGAGAGAAAGGCACAGGGCCAGGCTCACAGAATGAGACTGGGGCCAAGGAGCCAAAACAGAAGTGGATGGAGCCTGGGAAAGGGATGGAGGCCACCTGGGAGAAGCAGAGTACAGAATGGCAGCTGGAGCTGGAGCAGGGATGAAGCCTGTTAGGAGACAGGGTTGTGGAAAACATTCACCCCTGGCTCATACTTGATCACAGGGAACTTTGAGAAGGAACTGGACCCAAGGTCTATGTTCGCAGGTCTCTTGCCTCTACCAGAAGTGGCACTCCTTGCAGGAAGGACTGACTGAAGCCACTGCACCTAGCAAAGTGCCCATCTCGTAGCAGGTGCTCAGTAAATGGAAGGTAGATTGTAGGAGTGTAGCTCCTGTAGGGAGCCACTAGGGAGAAGGGGCTCCTTCTCTGGGTGGACTTCAGCTGGCCTCAAGCTATGGGACTTTTTACCCTTCCCCCACAACCGGAGGTTACCATGGCAATGACCCCTCCTACCCCATAGGCCCTGTGGTTTCCTCTAGAGCTTCTTTCGCTTTCTTCTTCTGCTTTCCCCCCCTCTTCTCTTCCCTATTCTTATATCCTCAACCTCTCATTCCCATATGCACAGGTCATCAATGAAGAAAGCCAGGCTCAAGGTAGGCAAGGCACTGGCCCAGGGAAGAAAGTGGACCACAGGATGTGATATTGAGGGGACGTCACATAGGACAAGGGGAAGATAAATACAGGGGCACAGTGGTAGAGGCCAAAGGCAGTGGGGCAAGTAGGGGCAAGGAGAGATTAGGACAGAAGGTAACAGTGGAGTCATGGAGGCTGCGTGGACGTCATGGAGTGAAGAATGGGGTCAGAAGGGACAGAGAGAGTGACTCATAAAAGTGAGGTCATAAAGGGTGGTAGAGCTCAAGAGTGAGGGGTTAGTATAAAATAGAAACACTGTAATTTAGATTCCGGCTATGGGTCTTTTCTTCTGGGGCCAGAGACCCTCTTGAGAACCAAATGAAGCGTCAATGAACTTACTCCCCAGAGACAAGCAGAGACGTACATATATATAACTGAGGGTAGGGACAGTTTAAAGACCTCTGAGGCTCATTCCTGCCTTCCCAGAGATCTATAGGATCCAATATAAGAACCCACACTGGTGGCTGTAGGTGGCCCAGACACTCGGGGTGGGCCCTGTGAGCTCCCTTTCCTCCCACCCTACCACCCCTTCCATCCAGGCACATTACATCCTATTTCCTTGGTCCCACTAAGAAAACTGCAAAATCTAGTAGATTAGGAGCTCCCCCTCCTCACCCAGGCCCTCTCTAGGTCAGCTGGTCCTCTCCCCCACCACCATCTCTCCCAGGTAGCCACATCCCATGAGTTTCCATCACTTTATTTTGCAAAAATAGAAAACTCAGCAATATGCGATACAGCGGGTGGAGGATAGATGTAAACAGAGGGGAGGGGACAGCACCCTGACCCCCCAGAGAAAAAGGGGAGCCAGTGGGAATCTTATTTGGCAGCTAAATACAAACTGGGGATTGGAAGAAGGGAGGGGTTACAGGGGCCCTGGGCTCCCCCTCCCAAGACCCCAAGAGGAAGGGGTCAATTCCAGGGTGTAAACAAAAGCTAATAAATAAATAGAGGCTTCCTCTGGGTCAGGGCAGGATCAGCTAAGCAGCATCCACCCCCTCTCCCTAGGCCAAGCTGCTCTTGGGGTCGGGGTGGGGGAAGGCACTAGGGGGAGAGGGGTCCCTTGGCCCCTCTGTAGTGTAGGAGTCCCTACCCCGATGGCTGAGATGGGGGGCAGGGGGAGCCCAAGGCACACGACAGGGCTGGGGAGGGGCTTAGAACCGAGGGCACAAGGTAAACTCTGAGCCCAAGGAAAGAGGTGCAGAATGGACCTGCATCTGTCCCTTTCACCCTCTGGCTCCCCACAGAAATGCAGGGCCCAGCCTGCCCCACCCTGACCTGGTATGAGGATGGGGCACAGAGGGCAGCTTGCACCCGGCAGGTGCATTACGCAGCATTAGGCACCAAGGGCAGCGGCAAGAGGGTGGGCTCAGCCCTCCCCCTATGCCCCCCTTTTGGTCTCTAGTGTTCCTGTTTGCTCCCAGAGGCCTAAGCACCTGGCAGAGAAAGGGGCTATGGAATGAGACCCTGCTATCTGAGGGGCAGTGCTGAGATTTTAGAGTCCAAACCGAGGCTCACCCCTCTGCCCTCTTTCCTGGTGGGAGCAGGGCAGGCCCCCGACACTGGAGAGGGAGCCAGTTAGAGGAGGAAGGGGATGAACACAGAGGCACCCCTGGAAACTTTGGCAAAAACAAGGAGTTCATTGGAAGGGGTGGGGAGAGAGCAGAGCAGGTCCTCCCCGAGTCACTGGCAGTGTCTAGGAGATGGTCAGTCTGCTGCCTGGAGCCCCAACCCCCATGGCAGGGGAAGTCAGGGGCCCTGGTCAGGTTGGGGGCTGTGGGCCCCTTTGCCCTGACCTCCAGGAACCTCATCCTCGCTAGAGGCCTTAGGGTGGGGACCGGTCTGCGAGGAGTCGTCCTCAAACATTTCAGGGTTCTCCAGCATCTCTCGGATCAGGGGAGGCATCGGGCCTGGAATCTCCATCTTCAGGGTAATGGCCCTTTCTGCTCCTGCAATGAAGGAGCAAAGAGTTTCAGCGGGGCAGAGGCACATGCCTTGAGGCTGCCTCCTTGACCTTTCTCAGCTGCCCTATGACTCCCCTCTGGGGGCTCCCAGTACAAGCCTGCCACCTCTCTGTCCCAGCTCACCCTCTCCTTAATTTAGGGTTCCTGGGGACCACTCCTTTGCCTGGAGCCTCTATATGTCTCCTCTGCCAAGTTACTGCCCATTTGTTCTATCAGGCTGTCTTCTCAAAGATCACACTGTGCCCAACTTCCAGCCCCACTTCCCAGGCACTCCACCCTCTAATATCCAGAGCTTGCCAATTATTCCTATGCCCATTCTTAATAACACTTGTACCTACTTATCAAACACTATCTTCCAAGCATCCTTCTAAACAAGCACTTTCCAGTAAAATTTTCTGTGATGATGGAAATATATGCTCTGTCTAATACAGTAGGCATAGCCACATATGGGTACTGAACACCTGAAATATGGCTACTGCAACTGAATTTTTAATTCAGTGCAGTTCTAAGCCCATTGTTTGTTAATTTGTTTAGTCCTTACAATAACATGAGGTTAAGTATAAGCAGGAGAACAAGGCACAAAGAGTAAAGGAATTTGCCCAAAGTCTCCCCACTAGCATGTGACAGAGCTAGTTTCTAGTGTAGGCTTCCTGGTTCTCATCCACTCTGTTCTTGTCTCCACCTGTCCAGCACATCTAGGAAGACAGAGGACAGGCTCACTCGTGACTAACCCTTGGTGCTGATGCCCCGGAGGTCAGTGATCTTCATGAGCATCCTTGGGAACATGTAGGGCTGGCTGGGCCGCCGCCGGCGGGCATATAGCCTCAGGGCTTCCAGCAGTGGCTCCTGCAGCTTGTCCACTTTTTCGGGTTCTTCCAGGTCCATGCGATCTATGAGGACAAGCACACTGGAGTGAGAGAGGAAGATGTGGAGAGGACAGTGACAAGTAGCTGATCCACAACTGGCCCTGCCTCCAGGCCCCAAACTTTGTCCCACCAGCCCCTCACTTGTTTTTCCCTGAGACCTACCCAGGCCATCTTCCCTGTTCCAAGCCCTGTACCTTCTCTCCTTTAGTAAGAGGTTTGCTCTGGTAAGTCACTCCTGCTCAGATCCCTACGTCAGCACCAGTGTCTGGGATCTCTTTAGCTTCCCCCTGGCTCTACCCCTTTTAGTCCTACGTTCCAGGCTGCGGGGAGCCTGCATTGGATCTAAGAAGTCTGTGGATGGGGCCAGATACAACAATCCCAAGGGGAGAGACAAAGGTCTCCAGCCTGGTCAGAAATCAGGTGTGAGATGTGCTGGGAGAGGAAACCAAGCAAACACCAGGGGGCTCCCTCGCACCTCCACAGATGAGGCAGATAGCACTGAGCAGCCCTGTCTCTGTGTCATCCATCTCCAGTGGCAGAAGCTGCCCGGCAAAGGCAAAGACAAGGTCTGTGAGGGGACCAAAGCCAGCATTGTGCATTTGGGTCCGGTTCAAGGTTAGGCCATCGGAGAAGGTCATGGTGTCCTGCTCTGGGGTGTACCTTGTGCAGATTCGCAGCATCTGGAGGTGGACAGAGGGAGGGTTAGTGCTGTCTCTGGAGAGGGGTACATATGGGGGTGGGGAAAAGAAGGAATGACATGCACATGGAAAATGAAGAGGTTAGGTCCAGAAGGAGAGCAACCTGAAGCAGGCATGGGGAGAAAAAGGTAGAGACGTGGAAGATCTGAAGCTTGGGGAAGGGAGAGAAGTCAGAAGGAGGCAAGGTGTCCAGAAGTCTAGGATCAGGTCTTAGGGGTAGGGTTTAAGACAAAAAGGGCTTGAGTTTCGAGGAGATTTGGGGAGTCCCAGATTGGAGTGGGGAGGTGAGAGAATGAATTCTTTGTATGGACCAACTCCTTGGTCTCATATGAGGGTCAGGCTGTGGCCAAAGACACACTATGGGGTTATTAACTTACCAGGATGTCCAGGCAGGCAGCCTTGAGCAGAGTGATCTGGTCAGCAATGCTGAGCCCTGTAAAGCCAGGCAGCCGCTTGGCAAACTCCACTATCTTGATGATGCACTTGGTGGCCAGCTCACTGAACTTGTCCCACAGCCCCAGATCCAGCTGTACCCGGTGGTCTGCACTGGAGTTCTGCAGGGAGGGCAGGAGAAAATGTAAGGTTAAGATCTGCCCTGCAAGCTGTCTTCTTTCTGCCAATACCCCAAACACTCCCCTCTGCATTCTGATGCCCTCTTTGTCCTCAGCACCAGATCATGGCTTCCTACACAACCCCTACCCATTCCCCAAAGTGAATGGTCCCCTGCCCTCACTGGGGCCTTGCCCACTCCTCACCGTGGTGTATTTTCCCAGCTGGCAGAGCGAAGGGAAGGTCTCCTGATGGGCTTTGCTGACCTTGGTGATGAGCTCTTCTAACTGGGGGCTCAGCTCATAGCTGTCAAGCAACCCTTCTTCTTTCACCTCTTTCTTTTTCTTATTTCGGTCATTCCGCACAGCTTGGGGATGGAGGAGCAAAGAGTGGGTCAGGACTCTCAGAACCTCCCTCTGGATATCCCCTTTCACCCTAATGTAATG